CAACAGCTTCTGCGGCTACGTGAACTGGGAGAGGCCTCTACCCTGATCTGTGGACTTGGGATGTTTTAGCCTCTACAATTGCGTGAGCTATTTCCTTGATATAAACCTCTCTATATATATATTTATACGCTTTACTGGTTTTGCTTCTCTAGAGAACCCAGCCTAAGACAGCGTGTAACACAGATGATCACTCCTTTTTTTCTTCACTTAGTTTTCAGAACACCACATGCTCATGCTCTTCCTCCGGCCACACTGGCTATTTCTTTTTGATCTCTTTTGCTGGTTTCTCCTCATATCTCCAACATCCTAATGCTGGAGCATCCCAGGAATCAGTTCTTGTTCTTTTCTATATTCACTCCCTTAGTGACCTCATCTAGATTTCAAATACTGTTTGTTTGCTGACTCCATAATTATTTGTTTAGCCTGGACCTCTCCTCTCAAATCCAGACCTGATTAGCCAACTGCATAATTGATATATTGACTTGTATATTTAATAAATATCACATATTTAATAAGTCCATGGTATTTTCAGTCCCCTCAAATTCATGCAAAAGCTGGACAATGAGTAAGGAAGACCAAAGAAGAATAGATGCATTTGAATTATGGTGTTGGTGAAGAATATTGAGTATACAGGAACTTTAGAAGAGCAAACAAATCTGTCTTAGAAGAAGTACAGCCAGAATGCTCCTTAGAAGTGAGGATGGCGAGACTTGGTCTCATGTACTTTGGACATGTTACCAGAAGGGACCAGTCCCTGGAGAAGGACATCATGCTGGATAAAGTAGAGGGTCAGTGAAAAAGAGGAAGACCCTCAACGAGATGGATTGTCACAGAGGCTGCAACAGTGGGCTTAAACATAGCAATGATTGTGAGGATGGAGGAGGACCAGGCAGTGTTTTGTTCTGTTGTATGTAGGGTTGCTATGATTTGGAACTAACTCCAGGGCACCTAGCAACATAATAACAACAATAAGTCCATAGTTAACTCCTGATTCCCCAGTAACACCTTCTCCTTTGTTGTTGTCCCCGTTTAGTTAATATAACTCCATTGCCATCTTTCCAGTTGCTCAGGCCAAAAATCTTAGGAGTCATTCTTGGCTTCTTTCTCTTAAATGCCCAAACCAGTCTACCAGCCTATATCATTGGTTCTGCCTTCCCAAAATATTCAGACTTTATCCACTTTCTACTATCTTTACTACCCTGCTGCAAGCACCTTCATTTCTTTTCTGGATTATTGAAGTGCCCTCTTAAGTGATCTCCCTGCTTCTACTCCTATCCTCCTACAGTCTATTCTAAGCTCAGAATCCAGGGAAATATTTTAAAATGTTAAGTCAAATCCTGCCATTTTTCTATTAAAAAACTCCAGTGTCTCTTGAAATCATTCATTGTAAAAATCAAAGTCTTCTGTGCTTAACCAGACCCTGTCTGATATAGCTGCCCATTACCTTTTTATGCCTCATCTACTACTGCCTTGTTACTTACTCAGTTTCAGCTGTTCTGGCATTTTTTCTGTTTCTTAACCACATCAGGGATAGTCTGACCTTGAGGTCTGTGCTTGTCCTATTCCCTTTTCCTGGGAGGCACTTCTCCCAAATAGCCACAGGACTGGCTCTCCTTACTTAAATGTCACCTCAGAGTAGCCTCCTTTGAGGACCCTGTTTTGAATTATATACTCTACCCTGGCACTCTTTATATGTCCTTTTTGTTTTACCTTTTTCCATAGCACTTACTAGCTTCTATTAGAGGATATATTTTACTTAATTACTTTGTTTATGAGCCTTCATCCCATAAGGGTTAAGATTTTTGAGTGTTATATTCATTCTGTACGTTTAACACTCAGAATAGTGCTTGGCACATAGGAGTTGCTCAGTAATATTTGTTGAATATATTGCATGGTCTTCATAGTTTTTAAAGTTACCAGTTTACCTCAAGTTGTTTCATAACTCATGCAGTATTAGTATGCAGGTTCAGTAAATGTGTCATAAGTTATCATAGGGAAAATTGCATTTTGTAAGGGGGCAAAATACTGAACGACGCAGGAAGCATCAGAAGAAGGTGGAAGGGATACACAGAGTCTCTGTACCGTGAAGAACTGGTCGACGTTCAGTCATTTCAGGAGGCAGCATATGATCAAGAACTGATAGTACTAAAGGAAGAAGTCCGAGTTGCACTGAAAGGGCTGGCGAAGAACAAGGCTCCAGGAATTGACGGAATACTGGTTGAGATGTTTCAACAAATGGATGCGATGCTGAAAGCATTCACTTGTCTTGCCAAAAAATTTGGAAGACAGCTACCTGACCAACCGACTGGAAGAGATCCATATTTGTACCCATTCCAAAGAAAGGTGACCCAAGAGAGTGTACAAATTATTGAACAATATAACTAATATAACACACAAGTAAGATTTTGCTGAAGATAATTCTAAATCGGTTATAGCAGTACATCAACAGGTAACTGCCAAAAATTCAATCCAGATCCAGAAGAGGATGTGGAATGAGGGATACCATTGCTGATGTCAGATGGATCCTGGCTGAAAGCAGAGAATACTAGAAAGATGTTTACCTGTGTTTTATTGACTGTGCAAAGGCATGTGACATTATGTGGATCATAACAAATTATGGATAACATTGCAAAGAATGGGAATTCCAGAACACTTAATTGTGCTCATGAGGAACCTGTACATAGATCAAGAGGCA